TCTACACTACAGTATCTCCAGTTTAATTTAATATATTGCCCGAATTCTTAATAATTTACCAACTTTTTACGGACTGGCTCCGATGAATTACCCGAAATTCCAATGAAATAGCCAAACGCGTCTTTTAAAGACGTACCGTACCGATCAGCAAATTCGTTGATTACCTGAGTTGTCGAGCTGCTAGCATTTCGTGAGTCTGTGATGGAATCATCATCACCGGAGACTCCACAGTCACTCGAGCTTGCCTCATTCAAGGGTGCAGGCAGCATCCCAACCTTCGGGCTGGGCACGTGGCTGGCTAATAATGGTGAATGCCAAGAGGCTGTCAAATATGCTCTACAATGTGGATATCGATTGATCGATACAGCGCAGATGTATGAGAACGAGGAGGAAGTTGGACGAGGCGTTGTTGAGTCTGGCGTACCGAGGAAAGATATTTTCCTTGTCACTAAGGTGGTACCGGTTTGGGACTGCTGCTGAGGCCTCGATATCGATTCAGTATTAGTTCGATCTTGAACTACAGCTTTAGGGAGAGTATAATGTGATATACTACACACAAAATAATTCCACTAATATGCTGTACATTACCATATAATGTGCAGTATAGTGTATACTTATAGTACCTAGTGTAGTTCCACTTCGTATATATTCTTTATGAGATCGAATTGATCGGCAATAACTGGAATAAGTCTTGTCCAGTAAGGCTTTAATCCTCAAGCAAAATGAGGCTTTTACTGAATGAGAGCCTCTGATTGTGAATTGAAGCAATGCTGTAGTGTGGTAGCAACTGAGGAACCTGTAGTAAGTGAGACGGGATAGGACTATACTCGATATCGAGTGGTTTATAACTGTTGACCGCCTAGTCTGCCATGTAGTGATCTGTTCCGTCTTACGAAGTCGTGCATGGAATTCGGTAGTCCAAAAAGTGAGAGTTTACCATAATGTTTAGCGGTGACCTTCAGTTTGTTCCAATCAGGTTAATCAGCTGAACCATGGTGAGCACGCCACGAGGGCTAGCATTGAGGAAAGCTTGGCGAAGCTCGGAACGAGCTATGTGGACTTGGTGCTCATACACACACCTGCCGGGGGAAAGCTGGTGGAAACTTGGTGCACACTAAAGAAGCTTCGACACGAGGTAGGAACAGATCGGTCGAGCGTTGGATGCAGTCAGAGTATAGAAAACTCGGAAAAGGAATATTTCTGATGTTGTTGTTAGAAGTAGTATTTCTGGTTGATGTCGCGTCCGGATTTGTACGGGCCAACGGCTCAACCACTGGATTATACAACCTTGGAAATAATATTCATTCTTTGTATTTGCTCCCCGTTCCGGGGGTCCAGTCAAGCCTTGAATTTCGAGAGTTGCTTGGAGGTAATGTAAGCAATCGTTCCGCATTGTAATCCACAAAGCTGGCCTCGGAGTTGAACTACGCTCCTCTTAATCTCCATTCAGCTGATCTCCTATCAAGCAGTTCATCAACGGTGAAATACTGTCGCAGTGGCCGCTCTGAATGCAGCCTTTCAATTCATATTCTAAAATGGGGTATCCGATCTCCGATTTATAAAATGCTAGTTTGCAGTCAGCGTCTCTGTCGCTGATTCATATCCAGCCACGCGATAACCACCCTGCAGTTAGACCTGAGATTCCACTCATTTGCGATCGGCAATTTTTGTTACTTCCTTGATCAATGCGAAGCTTTTTATTTGTGCTACTCTGAGGGGAGAAGCATTCGTACGTTTCAGGGTAAATGCCGATTCATTGGAGTGTCTAATTTTGGGATCGAGCAAATTGAAAGTCTTGTAGAGGCTACCGGTGGCGAGTATCCTGCAGTCAACAAGTAGAGCTGCACCCGTGGTTGCA